GGGGTTGAGGCGGGGAGCGGGCGGCGCCGTGGCCGGGCCGCGCTGGCGGCGGGAGGCCGGGCGGTGGGGACGGCCTTCGCCGCCTCCCTTCGTCCCCCCAGGCCGTGCCGGGCACCGCGGGCCCCCGCCGGTACCTGGCGGGCTGGCAGGGGCTGAGCGCTGCAAACCTTTCCTATTATATTATTTTAAATACAGGCACTCTGCAGCTTGTCAGAAGTCAGTGAGGTGGTGGGTTGGGTGGGTTTTTTTGTGTGGAGGTCGGCGTGTAAGTCCTTGTCGCGCCTCTGCAAGCTGAGAACTTCCTTCATGGGAAGGTTTTTTCATAAGGACCACCTTTACCGCGTGGTAAAGGCTTTAATGCCAATATGCAGAGAAACAGATTCCGAAATCTTAAAGTTTGTTTAAAGGACCAACTTCTTATTTCACAAGTCTTTGGAAAGAAGCACTCTGAAAACCTTAGGAAACAAAAATGTAAATACTGCGAGTCAGTGTTAAAACTTTGAGAAGCAAATCTTTGTTTCTTTCCGATTTGGTGGAAAGATCCTGGCCCATGCCCGATGAGTGTCAAAGGTATGAAGCTGTCCTGACAGGTTACCTAGGGATTCCCTTGCCCTGGAGAGCCTTTTGTTAATGTAAAGCTGATGTGGCTGTTCTCCGCCTCCGCCCCTATGGTTCCTGTTGCGTGAAGTAAACACTGTGTGGCCAGAGTGCAGGTGAGCTTTGACCAGCCCTGGCTGCTAAGATGGTTTCTGGGTAGTGTTCGGAGGGGATTTAATATAATTGCGCTTAATAGCCTTGTGAATAATCAGGGTGCCGTGTTGGACTCTGGCAAAAGCTGTGGTCAGGGCAGGTAGAAAATGGCAAGTGCGTTTATGAGTCACCACCCCTCGTCCTCCTCAGATTCAACTTCAGCGCCAGAGGATCCCACTCGTAACAGCGATTTGTTAAATAAAATGCAGAAAGAGGGGTCCCTTGCCTAGTAGGTTGGCCCATAGCGTGAGTGTGTTTGTAAAAGCCTGTGTAGTGTGTCTGTTTACACAGAAAGCCAGGCTGAGCTCAGGTAAATAATTACTGCTAAAACGCTATTACTTTCAGTAAATACAAACTAATGTTTGCTGCTCTACACATTGTTTACCGAGGAAGCCAGAAGAACCAGAACCAATGTTTGTTCCCTTAGAGATTTCATGCCAACTGCCTGAAATAGATCTACGCATCATTTTGTGTGTTGTCCCTGTAACTGGTCCTCTGCTGCCTTGTGGCATAGATGGTTTGGGCAGTGTAAGCCCCTTGCTATTTGCCCCCGCCTCTTACCTCTATTTCTACAAGGTTAAAAAAACCCCATGTTGATAGAAGTCTACCTTGCAGTCTGTATAAATATATGTCTTCAAAAGATATAAAGGGGATTAGGTGTGATGTGCTGTTGTAATTTTGCCTCTAGTGTCATCGTTTCCTTTGGGGAAAAGTGAGCATAGAGTTAAAATACAGTCTAATGACCTGAGCAAGGTATTTCCTTATATTATTACTTTAGATAGAGAATCAGTTCCAACAATTCACCAGAAGTTACATATGTGATCCATTAGATTTCAGAACATTTTACCCAAGTCAAAAGTTAACGTTGTAACACAATGTTTTAAAAGATAAAATATGCAATCCCAAAGGAAGCAGGCTACTATGGAACACCGCTGGAAACATTCCCTGGATAGATGCATAGCTTGTATTCAGATTTATCAATAAAAACCATGAGTATTAACATTCATCCTTCTTAACCACTTGGAACAGGGAGCAACGATTTCCCAGCCCTGAGCGTGCTGCAGAGAAAAACTGGTTTCCACCTACTGAGGTGAAAGGATTAATGAATACTTGGCACATGAAAAATGAATAGTGATAGCAGGAAGAAGATTGCATGTAGACAGTGTGATAAGGTGAGTAACAGAGAAACATCATGTTATGCACGTTGCTATGCCCTGAGAAGGAGATGAAGCTCGTTTCCATTGAATTTCAGATAAAATATTTTAAAACATCAATATTTATTTTGTCGTACTTAGAAATTTTTTATTCATTTATCTAATACATCTCAGGAAATCATCTAGAAGAGGGGTTGGCTGACTGACATTTGGTGATAAAATTTGTTCTCCGTGAGCTTCATTATGTGCTATGTTGGCTGTTTACATGGTCTATTGGCTGCTACTAAGAACTATTACCCATATGCATGAATTTGCAGGGCAGTATCTAAAGCAAAAAATATGTAGCTACATTCGCAGGAGAAATGTACTACATGATTATATATCAATAGATTGATACAGAAGTAGGGATATTACACATTAGTATTTGATATATATCACAGATTTATAGAGAAATGTAGTTCTCAATCACACGCTTTTATGGAAAACCTGTCCTACTAAATCACCGTCTTGGCTCACTCCATATACCTGACCCCTCTGTTTCCATTCTCATCTGGCTTAACAAAGCTGTGCATACATCAACTATTTGAAAATGTTCTGGCTTACATTTTAATACAGAAATACTTTGAAAACATTTAGTATTTCTACTATTTGAAAATGTTCTGGCTTACATTTTAACACAGAAATACTTTGAAAACATTTAAGATTTAAAAATTTAGTTCTCCTTTTTTTTTTTCTTCATCTTTTTCTTGAAAGAAGGAACTTTTAGTCACATCTCTTATTAATCAGTGGGACTCTTCAGCGTGCCATTGTTCTTCAGAAACAGGGGTCTTAAATTTTGAAACGGGACCCTTAAGAGTGTGTTGCCATATACAATTCTAAAAATAGAAAAACATGTTTTTGGAAGCCAGGGGAACAAATGGGCCCACAGAACATTTTTGGTTACTGCTTGTTCATAAGCCCAACAAGTGTGTTTACCTGCGTATTTTAGACTTTTTCCGTAATCCTTCACTTCTGCCATATTGCCTACAAAGCAGCGCTACTAATTCACTTTTATCGAGTCCCATCACTTGCAATCCCAGATGGCTCTTTCCAATCTTCCTATGGCAGTTCTTCCCCTAATGGAATTTCCTAAAACCTAGTGAAAATCTCCCCAGAATCTTCCTCAGCCTCTCACTTCTGTTTGTTGTCTACTGATACAGAATTTTCTTCACCATTCTTTCCCAATATCCATTGTCTTATTTGCATTTTGTCTTAGATCCTAATCCAGCAAATGTGCAAATAAATAGTACTCTTGAAAGCAATTTAGCGTCTTCGATCTTTAACTTAACCATTTTAAGTCTTGTTTGGGGTTTGGTTTTTTTTGGTGGTGTTGTTTGGTTGTTTTGTTGTTGTTTTTTAATTTAATCACAATGAATCAATCATTTTTCAAAATGGGAAGTGGCATCACCAGCAGAGAGCACACTGGAACCTCAGAACAAAAGAAAACAGAAAATCAATAGCATATTTTAACAATGTGAGCCCGAAACACATGAAGATACATCTGAAATAAATCAGTAATGTGCTGAATATTGAGAGATTTTGTCATTTAAATTAACACCAGTTATAAAAAAATCACCCTTAAGTTATCTATTGTTTACTCCATTTCAGCTTGTATTCAATTTTCTAACTCAAATACACTAAAAAAAATAAAAATCAACCTTACTCCCCAAACCAAAAACTAAATGCATTTTTATTTGGGATGCATGGTTAGACAAAAGCTTTAACAAATTACATGATATATTTTAGAAGACAGATTGTGTTCATTTGCTGAACTTAGGGAAACCTTTGGGTTGACAGATAATCAATTCAAATACCTGCAGTTGAGGGATTGTGTTACTGATTCCTTTCACAAGCCTTCCCTTTTGGATACAGGCAAATAAACGGGTTTTCTTTGCCAAGGAATGGACCACATCAGCAGATACAGCCTTTCAGGTATGGCTGCTCTCTTGCAATCCAGCCTGTGATCATCTGCCAATGCTTCCTCCACTCCTCCTCCAGTCCAACTGCTGTTACGCTCAACATGAATATGTGGGCTTTGACCCTTTACTCGACAGCCACCATCAAGCATGAGGTTGCAGACCTTTTTTGGGGCAAAGACGTCAGCTTCTGTTTCTCCTAATCTATTTACAAAGTACTTCAATGTGAACAGCACTCTGCCATCAAATGCTAGGGTTTATAGTCAACTTCTAGGTGGCCATTAACCAAAATGGTCAATCTAAAACGTTAAAGTACAAAAGTAGCACTATCGTATTTCGTGTGACTCACTCAAACATCAGCAGTAATATTCCTTGGGTATGAACGTCAGAGGTTTTGTACATCACACTTGTATTTTCTCTGTGCTTTGTATAAACCAATTACTCCTTCTCTGACAGACTATCATCAGGAAATCCTCTTCCCTTCAGCCCACTCTCCTTACAAACAATCCAACAAAACCAACCGAGCTCAGTGCAAAAACGGCAGTGTTAGTGTACACAGCGCAGCCTCTCTGATACAATAAAGTATATAGTGGAGAATAGGTCAGTTAAACTGTACAAATGAGGAAAACTATAATCTGATATTAAAGGTGCATGTTTTTCTCCAGGAACAAAGATCAAAATATTCCATTTGCACAATTTAGACTAGCGATGTTGCCAAGACATATCTTCTAGGAGAGTGGGGCCACGCTGTTTTAATGCTTCACTCCCTTAATCCGAAAGCTCTGTGGCCTTTCTATAACCTTAGATTGAGATCATGCACTCTTTTTTTTTTTTTTTTTAAATTTTGAACTTGTCTTCTTTTAGTAAGAGCCTTTGAAAGGTTACTGTCTTATTTAAGAGGCAAAAGAACAGGAGGGACAGTTCCTTATTTAGTATAATTTGGCACTTGGAAAAGTTAACAGGGAGTAGGAAATCACCAAGGAACATGTTCTGGGAAAGAAGGAAGTTTTGGGTTTTTGCATATCTCCAATGTTTGGTTAATGTTTTTGTAAGGAAAAAAAAAATGGAGACAAGCACTTCCTGGCTCTGAACAGTGTGTCAATTTGACGCCCAGTAACAGAACGGATTGCTCTGGATTTTCATTTCAAAACTCTGTAGTTTGTAGCTGAATTTATGGGCCTAAACATCACCCTGAGAAAACTTCTTACACCATTTTAAGCTCCATGTTCAGTTCCATTATCTCAGCTCCTCATATCGAATACTGTGCTGTTTGACACACAAAAAAAAGGGGATCTCTTAAACAGCGCTTTATAAAGAGAAGCCTACTATATCCTTATATGAACATTAAAGCTATTACATCTCTTTTGGTAAGACAGAGATACGGTGTGGGACAACCTTTCAAAATTTTCCCTGTAACTCCCACTGTGTTGTGTTCTCTGTGGCTCCTGGTTATTTTGCTCTCCCCTGTGCCTCCGTAAAATTGGTGATACCTGACTTGTTCCCTGTGCTTGGGTTTCACAGGCTACGAAAGTTCTGCACATGTGAGACCTGGAGGAGCAGTTTCAAAGCCAGAAGAAATGTTTCAGAAATGGTTGGGTTTTGTGCACGGGACCGAGAAGCAGGTTCTGCAGGCAGGTTAGCAAAAGGAAACACATCCAGCTAGGCATGGATCTGATCTCGTACCTAGTCAGCGGCCAAAAACATCTGGGCTGTCTTCTTTGCAGATATTATCACAGCAATCTTTCACGCTTTTCTTGACAGGTTTTAGGTATAACAAATATTTTCAAGAAATTCTAGGGGGGTTTTTCCCAGTTGTTTTTAATTCAGTAAAGTTCTTTGTTCTCTATGGAGGTGTTAAATAAATTACAACAAAATAAATCTCCAAATAAATAAGCACTTAGATGTTTTTTCTTTACTCAGACAGCATTCCTCCTTTTCCGTCTCCCCCCCCGACTTACAGACGTTTTCCTGTGTTACTAAAGCATTCACGTTGATAACTTTTGTTTTGATTTCAAGGCCACACAACTTGTCTTTTCCAGTACCAGAATCTCTTGGATTCAGGAGACATTTACCTAGCCTCAAGAACTGAAAAGATTCAGATTCAGATTGGAAAATGAGACACATTGAAAATGGTTCTTTTCAATGCTTCCATTATTTTCATTAGGTTGGCTTGAAATGCCTGGGTTTGTACCTGGGCATCATGGCCAAATCCATGGTCATGGTGATTTCTGGATCGTATGCTTTCTGGATCAAAAGTTAATGGCTCACAAGCATTAAGAGTCTTCATCTGGACTCAGTTGTACGTAGCACGTTTCAGAAGAGTAAATTATTTTTTTCTTTAATTAGTTATAGCTTTTTTATGAAACGGGGAATTTCACAGATTGTTAACCATAGTGGTGCCACCGGGTATCGATCTAACAGCTGAAAAACCTAAACTTCGTATTGTAGCAATTGTTTACTTAATGTCTGGGCTTGTTTGCGAGGGGTTTGTTTTTTAGTGTAAGAGAACAGATTCATTTGAGTGACTGCAGAGCTCAGTAAATCCCAGTTATCAATTCTCTTTCTAATGACAACTTATGACATGATTTTTACAAATGGCTGAGCACTTGGCAAATGCTAACCATAGAAATCGAATGAGCTGAAAGAAACTCCAGTCTGCCCTATTGTCGCTGCTGAGCTGACAGATGGGGAAAAGAGGAGGAGGTTGCGATGCTCTCCCAGAAGCCCAGGGGCACACTGCAAAATGACTGCTGAAGTGTCTTGAAAGGCCGTAAGTGGGAGAGGAGCAGATTTCCAAAGAGCAGACATCACCTACATTTTGCTTTAAAACTTGCCTTTTCTAGCACAGCCCCGGCAAACGGGCTGACCAAATCCTTCGCGGAGCAGCAAGCACCAGAGCTCACTCCAGCCTCAGCAGTGGAGGTATAAAATTGAATTTCCACGAAGGAAGGAGGAGCTGGAGCCAGGCTGCCTACTCCAGCAGCTGCTGGGAGAGCAGGGGGGCAGGGCTACCCTTACAGCTGCCCCAAGCAGGTGGCACAAATGCCAGCATCTGCTGCTGCCCTGGCCACTGTCACCTGCCTGGGCACCATCAGCATGGCCAGGGCGCTTCGCTACCCTGACAGTCTGCTGCTGAGAACAGCTGCCCGCTCTGCCGCTGCCTCAGCAGCAGGGAAAATCCCCCAGTGCCTGGAAAAGCCCTCTAAGTCCCAGAATAAGAATTGAGAAATCAGTGGTAGCAGTCTCTCGAGATCAAATAGCTCAGCCTTGCCTTTCCTTACCTATCTTTCTTTTTTTTTTTTTCTCTTTTTCTCAATTAGTCTAATACGTCTGCTTTCGTTTTGTAAAAAAAGTGACTCAAGAAGTTAAAAGTACCAAACTTCAGTAGCTTCACCCATATGTGCTGCGCGCCTCAGGCTAGACAGCACATATTGGTAGCCAGACTGAGGAGAACATTTACCACATTACCTCCTAAAAACTCACTTTATTTTTCTTGTTGAGCTGGCTCCCATCCAATGTGACACTCCAGTGTGAGCCATGCAGTGACAGCAACAGCCTCCATGGAAACACACCGGAGCATGAGGCCAGTCGTGGGGTAGAGAGAAAAGGCAGCTCTGCCACGTTTTTTCTCTGAATAAGCTTTCTTTTCATTTTCAAAATGTTCCTAGGAGCGCCCCTCCTAGGTCACCGTGTCTTTGGTACGTCTCTTGTGGCAATGCAAAGTTACGCCGACCCTGGAAAACCTGGGGCTGATTGCAAGGCATCACCATCTCACAGCCCCAGTGTCAGGGACCTCCACTCCTCTTTTTTACATGCTGGAGCCAGGACCCTGCAACCCAGACAGGAATAAATGCCAGCCATGGTGGGTGGAGGTTTGAAAGCAAACTGTGGAGTGAGGAGGATGTCCTGCCCCCTGCCTGGGTGCTGCTGCGCCCAAGGTGCTGCAGACTGAACATCTCTTTTCAGCAAAAAAGGGGTAGCAAAGGGAAATAGCATCTTAGAAATTTCCTCAATGTCTTTCAGAATTTTACATCCCCCAACTCCTCCCAGAAACAGGTTTATTGGGGACAGGGTGCGTGGAGGGGAGATGTTAAGCAGGTTGCTCTCCCGGTAGAGTAACTGGGGAGAGCGTGATGGTCAGGATGGTCAGGATGCCCTGAGGAGGAAATCCCTCATCACTGAGGGAGATCCCCCCCTATCACTGTGCCTGCCTCTCCATCATACTGAAAACCTACTCCCCCCTCTAATAGCAGCACGCAAAGTTGCCTAATGCCATTGTGATATAATTGATGATACAATTTTCCCTTAATATTTCTCTGAAATTTTCCTTTTTTTTTTTTTTTTCTCTTTCCCCTCAGACTGCCTGGAAGTAAATCTCTCAGCCTGACTATCCGCTGTTCGTTGCAGACGGGGAACCAGGTAGCTGTTTGGCCTTGTTCCAAGCGCTTGAGCATTTCACAGATGACAGCCTAAATCCGGCAAAATTTGGAAGCCTACGGGCTGGCTGCTACCCCGCTTAACTTCCAGGCGCCCGGCTTTACCTCCACGGGCAACACGACGATACCGAGCTTCGCCGCACACCGCTTGCAGGCTCCCAGCGCTGAGTTGGCCATTCTGTACATGTCACAGGGAGGATCAGGTGGCTGGGATTCACCACAGCCGGAGTACTGAGCAGGGAGCCTCTTACAGCTAAGCAAAACCAGCTGAAACCAGTGATAATAGCAGAATTTCCCCTGTCCTCAGCACCTAAGGAGCCTAAGCGTGGGCTGCAAAGCTGTAGCTTTATGCTGTTGGGAGTCACAGCTCTCAATTGAGCACCTTACCCATCTTTTCCAGGGGCTGAATCAGCTTTTTTTTTTTCACTGAATTTTAGAGTTGGAAGGGACCATAGAGATCATCTAGTCCAACTCCCCTGCTGAAGCAGGATTGCCTAGAGCTTGTCAGAGCATGTTACTCAGGACTGCATCCAGGCGGGTCTTGAAAATCTCCAAAGAAGGGGACTCCCTGGGCAGCCTGTTCCAGGGCTCTGTCCCCCTCACCGTGAAGAAGTTTTTCCTCATATTTGAGTGGAACCTCTTACGTTCCAACTTGTGCCCGTTGCCCCTCATCCTCTCACTGGGAACCACTGAAAAGAGGCTGGCTCCCTTCTCCTTCAAACCACCCTTTAGGTACTTATAGGCATTGATAAGGTCTCCCCTCAGCCTTCTCTTCTCCAGACTAAAGAGTCCCAGCTCTCTCCGCCTCTCCTCATAAGGGAGATGCTCCAATCCTTGAATCCTTTCCCTAAATGAAGTGTCAGTACCTTGACAATAATATATATATATATGACATGCAATACAATATGTAATAAGTACACTTTAATGTAGAATGCTTTAATATGTATGTTCTGCATAATACTAATAGTACACAGCAGGCACCTAGGTGATGTATCTCAACCTCCCTCTCATCTTCCAGCACCACTCCTTATATGAACTGTGCTTGCCTGAGGGACTGGGATATTTCTAACTAAATGTGGACTGTAGGCATTTACATCAGGACCAACCACCCTTGCACCCTCTCTAATGGAGAAAGATACTCACCTAAAATTGGTTTCTAAATTTTACCAGCATTGCCAGACATAGAATCATAGAATCATTCAGGTTGGAAGAGACCCTTGGGATCATCAAGTACAACCATTTACCCTACTCTACAAAGTCCTCCCCTACACCATATCCCTCAGTACCCCATCTAAACGTCCCTTAAACACATCCAGGGATGGTGACTCAACCCCCTCCCTGGGCAGCCTATTCCAATGCCTGACCACTCTTTCTGTGAAAAATTCCTTCCATCTTTTGTTTGTTTCAAATGCTTCAGTGGGCATCAGGAGCATACTTGGCTTCAGCGTGGACTCCAGCTTTTTTGACACCAATTTGATCGATCCTCATGTCTTTGCTGTCCCAAGCACTTTGGGTGTTTGTGGGTAACACCAGGCCACCTAGGTTAATTCTGCTCTGAAAGCTTTTCGGCGTAACAACAGATCTTTACAAATCTGATCAGTGTTTCCTTAGTCAGATTTCCTCAAGAGACTCAGACACACAGGAAAACTGCACAACAAGCCATCATAAGGGAAGCCAATCACTTGGCTTCCTAAGTGATACTCTCTGATTTACTGAAATGACTTCTCCAAGATCACCAGGGGCTCTAGGAATCCAGTTAACATCCTTAATATCTATTTTCAATGTATGAGACCAGGTCCTGAGATGATGTCAATTTGAACATCTGCATTGAGTTAGTGGTCCAGGGTGTGCTTATCAAGCTGGAGATGTGGTCCAGGGCAGGTTTATCAAGCTGGAGATGTGGCCCATGAACTCTGCATATCTTCCTGCTATCTTTCACATCACTTTTTACCTTTTCATCTCCTTTGCCTCATTGCAAGAGAGCCTGATCATTCCAACATCTTTATAGTGTAATACATTAAAAAGAAACTTTGTTGGCTACCTTTAAAGCACTTTACATCACTTTAAATCACTTATGCTACCACAGCACTACTGCAAAGAATGCCATCTAATTTACATAAAGTCACCCAGAGGTTAATTAGTATATGGAGGTAAATTTCCAAAAGAGTGCACCAGGAAAAAAAGAAGCAAAAAGCAATTCTTTCCTTAATTGGTTTTGTACACACACCTCTCATTCTATGTTTTACAAATGTACTCAGTAATTTCTGCCTTCATTTTCTGGGAAGATTGCATGTCAGGTAGAAAGGAAGTCTGTCATTGTGCCTGTCTGAGTGGTTACTTGCTGACCTTTTGTTGTGGGATAGACTATTTGGAAACACTGCCATCACAATTGCATGGTAGGCGCTGTAATGCTACACTCGGGTGCATCCTCCACAGTGGAACAAAAAAAGTAATCCCCAGTTATCTTTCTATTTGAATAACTGCCGGGAAATGTTAATAAAAACGTCATGTTAGAATGACGTAAAATAGTACATGTCCCCAGCTCTGTCCATATTGTGGAACGGAGGGATGGTGCTCACCTGGTGAGCCCACATGCCGGAGGAAGAGCGGGACATTTAATGTTAGTAGGGAGGGGCAAAGGTGATTGATTATTTTTCTGTTTGAAAAGAAACACTCTGAGGGACCATCAGAAACTGTCCCCAGGTGACCAAGGAAGAAGGCAATCCCGGAGCCTTGCTGGATTCAACTCTGACTCTGGACACCCAGAACTGTGTATTGGCTCCACATCCATCTCTAGATCCTGAGACTTCAGTGGAAGTGATTATGCTCTTCTACAAGAGCTTCAGCGGACACAGTCCAGGTTAATTCGAAGACCCTACTTCTCTCAGCAGTAGCAGCCTACACTTCCACTGGCAAGACCCAAAAAACATGATGGGTTACACCACAGTGTTTTTAGTGAGAGTTTTTAGCATCAGCATTTACTGCAACTAGACTTCTGCCTGAGGTTGAGTCTTGATAACCTAGAAACGCATAACAGCGTTGAGCTTGACTTTTTAAATATGTGTTAAAAGCTGTGCTTTCTTAGAGGCTTTGGAACTATAACCCCAAAATGTGTCTTTCTCCAAGGAAAGTAGGAGAAAACCCTACAACAGGGTTGCATAGCAGTAGCAGACTATAAAGGCTTTATTTCTGTCTTTTCCACCAAGCTGGTTAGACACCTGACCAAGCAATCCTGATGGTGAAGCCAAGGACCTACTCAAGCTCATGCTAGAAACAGAACACCACCTGCCCCTGGATGCAGTGTTGAACCCAAGGGCACACCGTGCTGAATGGCCTCCGCCATCTTTCCGACCACCCTCTCTCTGCAGTAGCAAGGTGGGTGGAGGCTCCACCACCACTCCTTTGGAGGACGCAGTGGGTTTGCGGTTTTGTAAATGTCATTTCTTGGTGAACATTTCTACAAAGGCTTTCCAGAAAGCAGACCTGATGCAAACATTTCCGTGAGGAGCGGGCATACAGTCTTACAGCCTCTCCCCTGGTCACATGAAAGTAGGTGTTACGTGCGGCAGTAGTAATAAGGTAATCAGAGCCCTTCCATTTTCCTTGGTCATGAATTAATCTCTCCTTTACAAGTAACATCCCTGCGTTCATTCAAAAGTTGTAATATAATAAGAATATCAATAATCAGCATTGAACTTATTTATTCTATTTACGCATCCATTACTCCTTATTATTCTTGGTGCCTAAGAAAGTGTTCTTTCTCTTCCTTTAAACAGCTCTTGTCCATTGTTGGTGTTAACAATCTTCTTATTGTTGCTGAAGGTTCTCCTATTCCCTCCCTGTCATCATTTAGCAAAGCTAAATGCATTTCGTTATTTTAATCTTTCTTGAAAAGTCAATCCCTTAATTAGAATCTATAGTTGTGGAGTTCCACCGGGTGTCTGCAGGCTAAACACCACTAAGGCTATTTTCTTACTAATTGTGTTCACAGACAGGACATTTGTTAGTGTTGTTGATGGCATTAGTTGTTGTTGGTCTCTTTTTTTTTTAAAAAAAAAAAGACTGTTTATCCAGGTAAGAGGCATAAGGCAGAATTCATTAAATCAGATTTTCAAAGGATCAAAGCCTACAAAGCATAGAAAGTCATGATTTTCTCAGCTGGGATTTTAAACTGAAACACACGGAGACAAACCTAAAAGCCAGGGGTCTGGAGAATGAGCACATCAAAATCTCTCTCTAAAACACAGAGATTTTAAGATTATGGTTGTGAAAGAAGGCTGTCAAATGCTGATCCACTCTCTCTCCTACCAATTGCTAATGAGCACCAAAAAATGTGGAAACACTCCTTGATTCCTAACCTATCGAATACATTTTGCTAAAGAGGCATTTGGAGATTTCAGTGGGAAGAACAGTAATGCCAAAAAAAAATGAATGCCTACTGTCCTTTCTCACTTCTGTGTGTAGATTTGCTCACTGATCTGCCTGCATGCAAGTTTTTAGGAAGGATTTAGCCCTTCTAGCATGCAGTGGAAGAAGAATCAAAGAACCTTTACACGGATATCACAAAAACTTGTTGAAATAAGTTCTGATGGGCTTCCCAGTGTAGTCTTCTTTTTTTCTCTGTGTGCCTCTTAGGGATGTGAGTTTTTTACACGTGCAATTGCCTTCCACAGCACTGCACACATTAGTCTAGATAATAAATGTAGGGGTTTTTATGAGGGATGTATCTTTTACCCTGCACATTTACCGTAGCTTGAATGTTTCTTATGCTGGGATATGTCCCATTTGGTTCAGTTCAATCTAAATTATTTTGGTTGGAAGTTGGACTGTTTGAACATACAAGGTAATGTATGTAACCTCCCATCAAGGTATGCTCAGAGCGTGTTTCTGTCTGTCTGTCTATCTCTCTCTCTCTCTTCTCTCTACCATTTCATAATACAAAGATTGTTAGGATCAGCTGTGTAGTGTGGCTTCCTCAACAGTGCTTGGGCTGACTCCTGTTCTGTCACTCTGCTCCATTATCCAGTCACTTCTCCTGGGTCCCGCACCGTAATTTGCTGCCTACTTCCAGTCTAAAAAGGAGCCTTTTTAAGGCATTTCTCACAGAAACACAGAATGATATGGGGTTGGAAGGGACCTCTGGAGATCATCTAATCCAACCCCCCTGCCAAAGCAGGTCCACCTACAGCAGGTTGCACAGGAACATGCCCAGGGGGGTTTTGAATCTCTCCAGAGATGGAGACTCCACCACCTCTCTGGGCAGCCTGTTCCAGTGCTCTGCCACCCTCAAAGTGAAGAAGTTCCTCCTCATGTTTAGATGGAACTTCTTATGTTCAAGTTTGTGCCAATTTCCTCTTGTCCTGTCACTGGGCACCACTGAAAAAAGGCTGGCCCCTTCCTCTTGACACCCTCTTCTCCTTCACTTGGGAGGTGAATCCTAGCAGCTGGGACTTCCTAGTCCTTGCCATGGCCACAACTGAATTTATCACATCGGTCCTAGACCCGATGTGGCCTTACCCCGGTGACAATTGCCAATACAGCGCCAGAAGACCACACTAATGATTTAGCTGTGTGGCTAATGCCGTGCTAGTGTATGGACCTGTGCCCTGGTTACTGGCATGGGCATGACTTGAGAACAAGTACCTGTTGGGCCATAACTTCACTGTGCCTTTGGGGATGCCCATGTCTTTCTACATGAGCTTCACAGCATTTTGTGCCACTCGTAGCATCCGTACCTCCTCTGAGCACCATGTCCACATCGTCCATCTCATTCCCCTCTCCGCTCCCTCTGCTGCAGCTGCTGAGGTAGATGGGCTTTCTCTTCCTTGTTCTTCTGCCTGTGTGACCTTTCCTGTGCCACCCACACAGTGGCTTAACTTGAGCAGCAGTGGAGTTTACATCCCTGTACAAATTTCCCCAACACTGTGATTTTAACATTCTTGGGGTATTTAGGAGCTAAAACCTGTCTTGTTCCTGTGGTGAAATGGCTAACACCGAAGACCCTGAAAGCTGAACTGAGTCTGATAGGTTCTGGGAACTTCAGAAGAGGTTGGGCATCTTGTCTGGTCAGTCTGGAGCATGACAGATCTTTGGTGAACGTCACAGGGCATTCCCTGACACTGGACTGCATCTGAGCTGGCTTAAAACTTTTCCGTGAGGGATCTGACAGCAGACCAGGATTTTTCTGCAGAGTAAATGTCTAGTGTGTTAGACAGTGCTGGATCCAGCAGGCAGTCTGGATCCCTGGGATTTAGATTTTTGTGTGGATTTTGTCCAAGTCCCAATATAATTTTCAAAGGTGTATGTGTTGCTACCAATGCCTGCTCCTCAAAATAAAAAAAAAAAAAAAATTGCAAGTGCTAATTGCAAGTGCTAATACTTTTATACCTATACCCCTATACCTACTGCCTTCCATTTTCAGTGAAACCCCTATATTTACACAACTAAACGACGTGGCTGTGTCGAAAAGGCCCTTGGCACACAGCTGGCCACTGTGCATTGTACCCTGCAGCCCCCCCCCCGGCCGAGGTGCCAAGATGAAGTTCAGCCCTTCGGGTCCTGTAAATGGGGAGATTCATTCCTCCTGTGTAAACAGGAGACAAACTGGCTTTCAGGTAGCACAGCAAAACAGAACTGAATGCTTTTCCCCTTAAAAGAGGAAAAAGCATCTGCAGAAGGAAGGCCCATCCTTTAAAAGCACGAACAATATTTAAATTTTGCGGAGGATGGAATATTTTGAAACGATGCGGCAACGAAGCAGTTGCTGCCACCCCTACTGAAACGTGACACTGGTTCCAGGATGTTCAGGCACTCCTGCTGGGACCGATAATCTGCATTTAAATTACAAGATTCAGCCATATGTCTGGCTGGGAAATGAAAAGGTTGGAGTGATAGATACCACCTCGTGCTTCTGCTGTTGGATTCTTTCATCCTGCTCAGTCACTCTCACGCACCGTGGTCTGTTCCAGGATAAACCCTCTTCCTATTAAATAATATCCGAATGTCTCCAGGGCCCGTTTCAGAACTGAACAGTCTTTTTTTTTTTTCCTCAGTGACGATATATCAAATCTTTGGTGGGAGCAAGCTTTTGACTAATATTCTCCTCTGGCTATTTAACTTGTAATAATTTTTCAATTTAACCCATGCAACTTTTATTTGAGATTTAGGCTATGACATACGATTGGGGATTCATACAGTTTAATTGAGGAAAAGGTAAATCTTCCTCATTTACAAAAAGGGTATACCTTACTTCCCTTCTTTTGTGTGTGTGCACGTGTTTTAAAATAAGAGACAAATATTTCCCTATAATTCAAGTAATTTGTAATTTATTTTTTTTTGCCCAGCTAACCCATTGGTTAGTCTTTCCCATTTTATTTCAGTGGGAAAACCCATATTTTTATTGCACCTTCACGTCAAAAGAGCAACTTCTTTGTAGCCGCTGGATGTATTCTGTAATGGCTTGGTTTTTACTTCTTTTGGACTGTAAGAAATTACTATTCTAATGTTTCCAGTAGCTTAGTTGCAGGTCCTGAACAAAACCAGAACTAATCGGTGAGAAAAAACTAATTTTTAGTACAATGAAGAAGAAAAAATAAAAAAGCATAAGAACAAAGATGTCTGAATCATAGAGGCCTTTCCCACATTTTCAGTGTGTTACTATTTCTGGACTTACTTTCTTTTTGGCTTGCAGCGTAACACGGGCTTAGTGATTTGATGATGGTACCAGCGAGTGGTAAAGGCACAATTGGGGCTTAGAAACCTGGTTGCTGTACTCTTTAAATCAGCAGTGCTCCCAGAATTTATATAGTCTTCATTGCAAGCTTGGGAGGCAGCCGGGGAGGACGCTCTGCACAGCATCAACGTGTTGTCACCCTGGTAAACGCCGCCTGGAATTTGATGGGGACATTTTAAAGCTGCACATACAAGAAGATGAGCTGAAAGCTGGCGCTCCTCAGAGGGAGAATTTGCTGGCGAGGACTTCAAAGGATGATGCCAACACAGAGCTTTCCCGGAGAGTTTTCTGGAAAAGAGATGTTTTTTGCAGATGAGCAAGACAGAGGTCAAAGGAAGCCTTGCTGTGGTCTATTTTCTGTGTGTCCAAGCCACTTGCTGTGGTTTGCCCTCCTGGCCTTTGAGCCCCTTCGGTTGGGCTGAGCTCCTGGCTGAGCCCTGGCCAAATCAGTGTGGTGTGAGGAGCATCACCGGCACTGGCAGTGGCAGGGGGGACTCCCCGGGGCTGCTGCCCAGCTTCTGATGTCTCCAGCCACCCAGGCAGGGCTTTGAACTCAGCTCTCACCTGCGCATCCCTGGGCTTTTATCACCACCTCGGAAAAAAAAAGGGAAAAGACCATTAGTTTAGAGCAAGTGTGAGCTGATAAAAAGGGATGTCTTTGTGAATTGCTCCCGGAATTGCCACTGGCCTCTGGTAAGAACAAAGAAATACAAGAATTAGCATAATGACTCTGAAGGTACTTATTTTCATATACTTTTTACTATTGTTTTATTTCAGGGCAGTTACAATTAAAAGTGAGTGCTGGCAGTATTCATATGTCATATGCTTCCTTTTGGTAGCTTTGAGAGATCTTTTTTTCTTAAAAGATCCTGATAGTGAGGTTGATAAATCATCTAAATGAGCGTGCACGAAGACTTGTGAAATCTAATTTGGTACAGAATTTCCCCATAACATGGCATATATCCTAAGTAAATGCTTTATAAGAGAGACCTGAGAGTTTTATGGATCGTGGTTTGGTATATAGTGTAGATACTTATAATTTTGTATACGTGCCATGCACACAATACTATAGGTATCTGTTTAAAGGCAGACAGCATGACAAGCCTTTAGGAGCCACAGAGTCTACCTGGTACATATCAAACAATTGCCTAATGGATGTGCTGATGCCAAACGAACCCTTTGGGTCCCTCTGAGAAGAATACATACATAGGCTTCCATGAAATATGTCATCCCTTTCACTCATTTATACTAAGGAAATACCAACAAAACACTGTGTTTAAATAGCTTTAAGGATCTGATATAAATCAACAATAGCCAGGAAATTTAAGAAAGCCAAAGCCTGACACTCCCTCTTCGGCACATTATACCCTGTTTTTGCAGAGCGAGTCAGAAGCCTCGGGTATCCCACCTCGTTTTCAGTTCCTGATTTATGGCAGACCCTATGGGAAAAGTACCAGCAATAACAGAAGCTTCCACCTCAGACCTTGCACGGCTCAAGGGTTCAGATGAAATCACCACAAGCCACACCAGCTTTACATAAAATATGGCCAGCTTTTTGGCCTGAGAACCGGTAGCTGAGACCGAGTCCCCGCTCTCTGTGGCACCTCAAGCTGCACCCCCCCAGCCCTGGCACAGAGGCAGTGCCCCGTGGAAGGGAGGGACGTTGTGTACACACATTTTCCCTGCCAGCCCGGCTTCAGTTCACTGGCTGGGGTGGTCCCGGGGTGGCAACACACTGCTGCCAAGCCCTGGTGCTCCCGGCCACCCCCAGAGCTGGCTTATGGACAGGGTGGCACCTCGGGGCAGCCCCCTCTGCGCAGTCACGCTGCTGGGAGAGGACCCGGGTGCCCCGTTTTCAAGCTTCAGCATATATTTCAGTATATACATACAGGCATATGTCACACCAACACACAGTCAGTCTCAGTCTGTCCTCTGACGCTACCCAGAAAGTCACATCATTCCAAGACCCACTGTTTTTTTCTTTCAGATTAAGACAAGTTGAAAATACTTCATTCCAATGCAGGGGTAGTTGATGCAGGAGGATTAGATTAAGGCTTTTTTAATTTACTTCTTTCTTTTTCTCCCCCCCCTCTCCTACTGCAGTGATACCTGCTTAGCATCAAGCCCCAGCATCAGCTTTGGACCCATGGAGAAGGAAGGAGGCATCTTCCCAAAAGCCTTCTGGGCACCTCTAACCCCAGCAGCCTTGTCCTACACCTGCAGCAGCCCGTCCTACCCTTGTCACCCGAGGATCCTACCCTTGTCATCCCTGGAGATTCATCCTGTCTAGAGGCAGAGCTGTCACCATCTCTGCAACTGTGGGAACATCCCAGGAAATGGAGAGGTGGGCCTGGTCCTGAGGGCTTGGGGCAAAACAAGGTCTGAATGAAAGCCCCAGCTCCCTTTGCTGCTCCGTAATTCCAGTTATAACATTGATTCATAGTGAAACAATCTGGTGAAAAGGAAAAAAAAAAAAAAAAGACTTCCCTGGAAGAAAATTTCTTTTTATTGTCAACTTTCACACAGTCAGAGGAAGAAATTCCCTAGGCAATTAGAGCTTCTGACATTACAGGCACAAGGTTTGTTTTGAGAAAACAAACACATGTCAGCGTTTTTTAAAGTTATTTTTTCAACCTTTAGACATGTTGGCAAGGCATCGATTCAGTGGGTTTTTATACAGGAAGGCATATAGACAGGAAAGCCCAGTACCAGCTGTAAGTGCAATATGCCACCAGTCTGCTAATGACAAAGAGCAACAACGCGAAGGAGCCATCGACCAAACAAAGCAAAAGGAGGAGAGAGGCACCCACAGAAGTGGGTGGGTGGCAGCCACCCAATTATTGGAGATTTCCCTGGTACGAGTACCTAAAGTCATTAGCATAAAAGCAGCACTAGTTAGGGACATCTGCACAGCTGTGAGTAGCTGAGGGGGTTTGTTTTGGTTTGGTTTTTGGTTTTTTGTTTTTTGTTTTTTTTTTTTTTTCAAGTCCTGCTTTCCATAGTGGCAGCGGTGTAAAATTAAACTAAAATCAGTTTACAGGGAAAGGTATAAACGCAGTGTAGTAATGGCTCCGCTCTTGCAGCTCGCACCCTCTGTTAAATATTAGCCCTGAACTTACATAACTTAACGAAGATAGCAGCATTTAAAAAGAAACATGATCATTTTAAGCTTCTGTCTTAATATTCTGCCCTCATTTATGCTATGTAGACCCTCTGATTTAAATCTGTTTCTTACAGTAAGGTGAGTTGCGCTGTAGCAATCAGGCAGAAAACACGAGATAGTCCTTATTAAAACAAAAAATTTCAGCGTTCGTATACGATATATTTGAAGAATGTGAAAGGTCCAGCGTGTGTAATGTTATTTTCATCCAGCTTGGTGAACTTGTGTTGAACAGGTAAAAGAGGAAACAAAGAAAATTAGTTTGAAAAAGGAGAGGAGAGGAGAGGAGAGGAGAGGAGAGGAGAGGAGAGGAGAAAAAGTATGTGGTAGAGCCAGAAGCTATCAATTCCATCTAACTGCCCCCTGAAGTGTACCTGTGACGCGCAGAGTCAATAGTGGGGGTATTTCCCAAACTCTGACCCTGCAGCTGGACCCTGTCGCTGCACGGCCTCCCACTGGCCCCATCAGATGTTCAGACAAGCCTAGATGGTTGCACAGGCAGATGTAATAAACTTGACCAGTGACCTAGATGACACGCTTCCTAACCCAGGGGGTGGCCAGTTTTAAGGGCACATTGCTGCCTCCCCTCCCCTCCGCAGGAGAAACTTGCCCCAGAAGAACATCTCCTCCTGGGCCAGCCGTTGGTTCCAGAGGATGGCAGGGGCTGTCACCCGGAGGCAGCGATTCTGCACGGCAGCTCTGTGAACATGGCAAAGAACTGGAGGGAAAATATGAAGAGAAGATGAATTTGTTCAGCACTAAACATGTTTATTTTAACTTCTCGGAAGCTTCTGAAAAATCACTGAGCAAAACTCCAGGGTATAAATCAAAGTGAGAGAGAGAAAGAAAAAGGGCAAGTGAAAGAAAGTCATTACTTTGATTGTCAATGAAAGATTACTCAGGATCCATAACTGTGTTTACCCACCTCAGCTCTAAGTTCACCACTCCAAAACCTTTGACAGAAGCCCACGTTAAAAACAAAAAAAAAACCAAAATAGCCCAAACTGTTCACAGGAAAATGACTTGTGTAATGATAAGTGGAAATCTGGGGGCTGCCACCTATGCTCACACTGCTACATTTTCTTTACTGTTAAAATCACATTTCATAGGATTCTAAGCTTCCTCTCCTAAGAGTTTAAATTACAGAATAAAGGCTAAAATGATAAACACAAAGATAGCTATCAATCTGAGGGTTTTTTTTTCTCTCTCTCCAGTGTCGTGTCCTCCAGCTACGCCTCAGCACAGCCCAATTTACAGTAGAAGGCCGGAAAGTCAGTACTAGGCTCGCGGTTACAATGAGTACTGTTCTCACTTGTTCACTCTAAGCTCCCGATTTCCTTCTTAAAAGTTGTTTTCAAAAGGATCTGCTTGCGTAATTGTGCAGCAGCAAGCCCTGGTAGCCTCAATCCCCAAGAATGTTTTCAATGACCTCTTCCTGCCCAGTTTTTCCATGAGAGAGAGAGAGAGAGAGAGAGACTGAACTGTTGGGAAAGGGGGAGCCAACAGCGTTACCAGAGGGTAAAGGAGTAGACAGATGCAGAACACAGATTAGTGTTTTAAGAAAAAAATAATTCTTTTTTTCTTTTCTTTTCTTTTTTTTTTCCCCTTCCTGGTGTTAGGATCGCTTTTAAGAAACGCCCCCTCATTTTAACATTTCATGGACTTTTGGTTGGCACAGGCCTTCCAGCAACAAAGTCGACCCTTATTTTAGAGGTAAGAACATGAAATATATATGAGTTTTAGAGGTGAGACTATTAAAGCAGGGGAAGGGGAGCGTTTCACCCACACAAGGGCTGCTGGCTTCAAACCCAGCCCGTGGGTCAGTCCTGGCTAGGAGAAGGCTGGCTACCTTCGCAGTGAGGGTGCGAGCCAACGCGGCCGTTGGCAGGACCAGTAAGGAAATGCAAACAGAGGGTGGGAGGGCGAGAGCCAGAGCACCAAAAATGAAACATCTGCTTCTGAGGGGAGCCCAGCTCACCCGTGCAACACGTACCTGTACCACACGGGCAGCAAATCAAGATGTGTTTATTTACGGTGTTGGTTTGAGGTACGGAGATCTCTTCAAAAACCAAAGGGCAAAATGACCTTGAGAAGTTCGCATTATTAAGAATTAATTATTACCCTCTGGCAGACCCCATTTATCACCATGAAAACCAGATACATTAATTACAGCACTTCTGGCATCGGAGCAAACCTGCTCCCTTCATGTTAGATTTTCAGATTTTGTTCCCAGAGGGAAGACAGGAATCCTTAAACGTACCAAAGAGCAGCTTAAAGATTTTCTACTACGATGACTTTAAAAGTATTTTTTTTCTTTTGGTCGCTGGATCAAGCTCTGTAATAACCTCCATAATCAAAGAATTATCTTTGCTAGTGACAGACAAAATTAATAATCAAGAGTTTTGGATTTTAACCCTGCCTATCACCTGCAGCGCTGACACTGAGAACCACGGGGTATATTATTCTGCAATTAACATTATGTGAGGTTGCTGAGTGCAGCATATTTCCTGTAGCTTAAAAACATGCCACGCTGTGGCAATGCAGAGTAGGCAGCTTTTAAAGTTTGGATTAAATCTAAGTGAAAGTCTCCTATGCCTCGTTCAACTTCTGCCATTAGGTTATGTATTGTGATAACGGTGTAATGCAAGGTAGCGATTTATAAGGACGAGAACATAAATCTTTCTGTGAGATTGATGACATTTTGCTCGCTGCCTGTGCGTCAAGAGGACGGAGGGAGCTTGCTGTGTAGCAATTTCCCACCCTACTCCTAGTCGGGAGCGCAAAATGAAAATTTCACATTTGGATTTACATTTCAGCCTGGAGAAGAGAAAAGGCTCCAGGGAGACCTTACAGCAAGCTTTCCAGTACCTGAAAGAGACCCACAGGAGAGATGGGGAGGGACTCTTTATCAGGGAATATAGTGATAGGATGAAGGGTAACAATTTTAAACTGAAAAAGGGGAGATTTAGATTAGATATTAGGAAGGAATTATTTACAGGGAGGGGGGTGAGACACTGGAACAGGTTGCCCAGAGAAGTTGTGGATGCCCCATCCCTGGAAGTGTTCAAGGCCAGGCTTGATTGGGCTTTGAGCGACCTGGTCTAGTGGGAGGTGTCCCTGCCCATGGCAGGGGGGTTGGAACTCCATGATCTTCAAGGTCCCTTCCAGCTCTAACCATTCTGTGATTCTATGATCAAACCCTATATTTGTCTCCAGGACAAAATTTCCCATCGAACTAAGACCTGCAAAACTTGTCCTGCAGGGGAGAACTCAGGAGTCCTCAGTGACATCCCAAGGAGCCTTTACCACTTCGCTACCCACGATCAGCTGCAAAGTCCCCACCATCGCTTTGGTCGCATCTTTCCCTAGATAGGAAAAAAAATAATAATCCGTACAAATACGATGCCCCAGTGCCCCGTACTCTTAACTCTCCACCCCACCCGCTCTGCCTCTTTAAATGAAGCACAGGCTGGAACACGCTATCGGCTTCTCAGAAAGCTGAAGGTGGATGCGTGCCAGGGATTTGTGCAGCTTCCTGGCTTTGCTGATAAAGAAGGGCCACCGCGAGGTAAAACCCCTGCTCTCTCCCCGACACGTTTCCTCTGCGGCTGCCCAGAAACAAGGGACCTGAGAAGACAAGGAAAAGAGGGGGACGGTGGCACCGGAGCCAAGTGCCGGCGCTGGAGGAGGCCACCTCCGAGGAGGTTGTGCCCGTCTACATTTAGAAATGTGAGCTTCGAGGCCGGGCATCTGCACCAGCGGGTGGAAAGTATGAGAAAGCACATCTAATGCTGAAAGTTAATGCCAGCATTTGACCGCGTTAACCAGTAAATGACAAGGCAGGGTCGCCGGAGTTAATTATTCAAGTAAGTGACTGCTAAAAGAAATGCTGAAGAAACGCTGGTAGTTTGCACTGACTGCGATGGAAAGTGACTAATCATTGCGGAGTTTAACCTTGACAGCTCTAAGCAGACCCTTCTTGCTCTTTTGCCGGGTTTGTTTTTTAAATCGATATTGTCTACCTGGCAGGCAGAACATTAAAGCTTTTGAAGCAAAAAAAAAAAAATTAAAAAAAACCCCAACCAAACAAAGCTGGCTAGAAAGGCACCTGCGACCTTTGATGGTTGGACTAGATGACCTGAAAGGTCCCTTCCAACCTAGCCAATTCTGTGATTCCACGACGTGAAGGAGAGAGCTTCAGGAGAGAAGCAATCTGGTTGAGAGGGGTCCAGCTTTGGGAGAAAGGGGCTCTTGCCTCAGCCCCCGAGTTCCTGTGTGATGCGGGGCTGCTCCCCCCACCTCCCGGTACTCGTGTATTTAGGTTCTGACCTCTCTGGGGCAAACTCTACCTTGTTTGTACAGTGCCAAGCGCAATCAGGCCCTGCTCGCCGCTGATGTCCCTCGGCACCGCCACGGTATGAACGCTAACGAAGAGAGACTGCTCATACCTGCGTAGCCCCAGCTGAATCCCCCACTTAAAAAAAAAATCATTATTTTTTTGGTGCCCAGATAATTTAAAAAACTCCCAGGCAAAATACAATTACTGCCCTGCCATAACCGCTAAGCTTCTGTGGGACATAGCTGCATAATTTTAAGAGCCAGACATTCCTCCAGACCTCTTTGTCTCAACAATCAAATACCAGAGTGGGAGGTAATACTGGCAATGTATTTCTCTTCTTATGTATGCTGAACTGCTTTATGACTTCTAATACTGGTATGTCAGCCTACAACACCAAAAAAAAAAAAAAAAAGGCAAGAATAAGGT